GGAAGTGAGGAAAGTAAACAAAGAGATAAAGTCAAGAGAGAATGGAGATCAAAACAAACTTTTTTCCATAAGGTAAGATTAGATTAGCTTGGTTTGGAGAGTTATTGCCTCTCACACAGGCAAAGGAGGATGTGCTGGTCAGCCATTGGCTGTAATCTTTGTGTTATGTTTATGTGCGACTTTCTGGCTGAGACACGGGCAACATGAACTTTCATCGCTGCTAGTTCTTTGACGTTGATTTTCTGTGTCTGGGCCTTATGTCAAATATTCATACTTCTTTTAGCTCTGGTTTGGTCTCCTCCAACTACTGAGAAAAACATCCAGCTGCTAACTTTGCCTGTTTATGCTGTTTGGCCCTGTCAGGTAATGCAGGTTGACTTATCAGAGCTTGTTTGCTCGCAACTCCTTTCACTTTACATGTAGCCTTTTGATTTACTGGTAATATAGAAAATATTGTTTAAGGAAGTGTGAAGGAAATCAAGCATTCTCCAGAACCCTAGCCTATTTCTAACCAGAATAATGTAATAAATGTACTTTTTATTTTGTTGAAGTACCTCACGGCATTAGCACACTCCATTAGTGAAATCCTCAAATTTCCTCCTCCCAGATCACTGTTGATGTTTCCAAACCAAACTATGAACTGTGAACACAGCTGTGTTGAGTCTCAGTGCTGTGGCAGGAAATTTGGGGATTTGGATTGCTGTTGGAAAATGTAACAAAGTCATATAATTGTGTCCTTAAGCAATTGGATTCAATATGCTCAGTGATGCAACAGTACATGTTCACACTCACCTTGTGATACAGCAGGTCTCCGCCCAGATACTGTGTGTGACTGTCACAATCAATATCTCAAGTTTAAACCTTGTGACTCTCTTCATCACTCTGCAGCAGAGTAACATCTTGCCTGAGATGAGTCTATCTTTTGGTTTGTGGATTATCGTCTTCTGGCTCGCTGGATGTTTTTGCGAGCCCTCGGGGAACACAGATGCAAATCTTGGCTTTGTTTTCCAAAAGCCCTTCTTGGCTCAGAAGAATATCTTTGTGTCTTTAAAGCCTTCAGAGTGAGATAAAGTTATAAATCAGGAAGACAGTTTGGGGAATTAGGCCTCTGCTGTGTCAGTCTGGTTTTAATGTTCCTGTCATATCTGTCTCTGAATCAGCTCGAATGCATCCAGGCAACCAGGAACTCCAGAAATAAAGAGGTTTCTGATTTAACTACATTCTCTCCAACATCAAGTAATTATTGGCCATGTTCACAGATTGATCTCTGCGATAGACGATCAGACTAGGAACCACTGCAGGCATTCATATCTTTGCTGTTTCCAGCTGGTGATTAATAGATAGATAAAATTTGACCAACATACTGTACCAGACCTCACTCTGATGGATTTAGTGAGGATGCTGATATGCTGTCTCCAAATTCTTTCAGAATACATTTTGCGGCAGAAATTTACATTTTGCTGCAGTTTTATTAGCCACAATTCCCTGTGGTTACCCTTTCTCATAACTCTGTCAGTGTGTGTGCGCATGAGAGGGACTCTCTTTGAAAGTGCATCATATTTCTGTTGACTAGGTAACAAAATTGGATTCTGATATTACTTTTGTACTTACCCAGCCTTGAAGAACTAAATATCCACTGCTCGAATTTTCCAGAAAAAATGAGGAAAGGTTATTATCTCCGGGATTTTATTTTTTTAGGGCTTTTTTTCTTGTACATTTATTATTAACAGCTGGAGAGTGAAAGGAAAGGGAGGAGAGAGAGAGGGAATGACATACAGCAAAGGGCCAGGGCTTGGATTCAAACTCACACTGCCACCAAGGACTCAGCCTACATGAGGCACACGCTCTACCAGGTGAGCTGGTTACTGGTCCATTTATCAGCACTATATCGTAGGCAACTGGACTTGCTTGCGTTTCTTGAAGATGTTCCGCCTCTCATCCAAGAAGCTTCTCCAGTTCTAAACGGCTGGTACGAAGTTGCAAGCTTTAAACCCTGTGTGGGTGGGAACCCTTGCAGAGTTGTAGGGGTCACGTGAGCTCTTAGTTTCAGAGTCGTTAAGGTCACAATGTGAGTCGTTGACCCACCTGGCCACCATGTGAGTCGTTAGGGTCAGGTGGGACCAGGGGTGAATGGGTGTGAAGGTGTCTGGGGAGGGATCCCAAGACTGCATTGTAAGTGGGGGATAAGTTCGGACTCTGTAACTAAGAGCTCACATGACCCCTACGACTCTGCAAGGGTTCCCACCCACACAGGGTTTAAAGCCTGCAACTTCGTACCAGTCATTTAGAACTGAAGAAGCTTCTTGGATGAGAGGCGGAACGTCTTCAAGAAATGCAAGCAAGTCCAGTTGGGTCACATGAGCTCTTAGTTTCAGAGTCCGAACTTATCCCCCACCTACAATGCAGTCTTGGGATCGAATGAGATTGGGATACAAGCTGTTGTGGCCGTTCAACTTAGGACCCAAATGCAAACACAACCAGGAAACAGGGAATGGTTAAATGCAGTTTATTGTAGTTTGAAGAAGTGGAGCTGAAGACTTGAATGAAATGATGGCTGAGATGGGCAGAGAATGGTGAAGAAGAGCAGTCCATATCCAGAGGCAGAAGACGAAGACGTGGCGGGGCATTGTTTGAGACACAGAACAGAGTGTGAATTAATGTCCAAAGGTACAGAAAGGCAAAGACAAAACTAGAAGGTGGCCTTGATGTCTGTACTGCAGAGGAGACTGAATAATCTGATGTCGAAGCCAGGGTTTATACTGCAGTGGCTTGATTGTAGATGAGGTTCAGGTGTGCAGGTTCAGCAGCTGCTGGCACTCAGGACGATTGGCAGGAGGAGGGAACCAGAAGGCCACACCCAGCAAACACACAGAGACAGACTGAAAAAAGACACTAGGAAGGGGAAACAGGAAACACAAGGGAGATGCAAAGCTGAAACCCTAACACAAGTGGCTGAAATGAGTTTCCTCTGGAGGGTGACTGGGCTCAGCCTTAGAGATAGGGTAAGGAGCTTGGACATCCAGAGACAGTCTGGAGTAGATGCTCCTTTGCATCGAATGGGGCCAGTTAAGGTGGCTCGGACATCTGATCAGGATCCTCCTGGGTGCCTCCTGTAAGAGGTGTTACAGGCACATCCAACCAGTGGGAGACCCTGGGGCAGACCCAGACCACGCTGGAGGTACTATATATCTTGTCTGGCCTGGGAACGCCTTAGGATCCCTCAGGAGGAGCTGGGAAGTGTTGCTGGGGAGAGGGACGTCTGGAGTACTTTGCTCAGCCTGCTGCCCCAGCGGTTCGACCTTGGATAAGCAGCTGAAAATGGGATGGTATTCCATTTCTGCCAGTGGATCATATTCCTCCATTATCAAAATGTGTATATTTATATTTACCTTGTGTTTAGATAAGGATAAAATGAACAAACAAAATTACATTATTGCTCCAACAATAAGACCAATAGAAAAATCATTATTATCTATCACCATGGATGGATTACTGAATGGGCCTTTGGGGTACAGACCCAGGGGCCTAAAGTGTCAGGGGGTCCTGACCTTACCTTACAAAATGTCACTCAAATTAACATGTACCAACCAGGAAGAGACTCAATATGACTGGAAAAAGGTCACAATGAGATGTAGAGGAACTGCAGAGACACAAAATAACAACAACAAAAAAGACAGAAAATTACCTCAAAGAGACCCAAAACGAGTAGAAAAAGACACAAAACAAACACAGGGAGACACAAAAGCCCCATTTCCACCAAGCACTACAGTTTAGTTCAGTTCGGGTTTTTTTTCCCATTTCCACAGTGAAAAATTGTGGATGGTACCAACAGAACCGTTCTGTACCGTCCCCATGTTTGGTCCCCCCTCTGTTGGGGTACCTAGCACACAGATCTGGTACTAAAAGGTGGAGCTGTGAACACTGCAGTCTGATTGGTCAGTAGAGGACGGTCACTCTGCTCAGGGCTGAGTTGTGTCTGGTTTTGAGGCTCATGTAACCACTGTTCATACTGTGGAGAGTTTTATTAGTAAACTGTAACTATAAAATGAAAGGATGTTGAGAAAAAATAACTTCATTCACTGGGCCGACTGTCGGCAACTTTTAAGGTGGAATGTTAACTTGTAATGTTACTCAATGCATGAGTTGATGACGCGAATCAATCAGCACACCTTAAATTTCACTGTGACAACTTTGACCATCACTTTAGTTTTTATATGACACACACTTTTAGTAATGACAGGATCTAAAAGTGACTGGAAGGCATACATCCCAATCTTCACTCAGAGAAAAAGAAGGACTAAATGCACAAAGCTGCTATTTTTAAATATCCCATGGAGAGAGACTCTCACTGCAGCCTGTTCTATTTTGTTCTGAAAATGTGGGCGTGCAGCCTCGTTCTGTGGACGATAAACCAGGTGCAGACTCCCATCTGTGTCAAAGGTACTGTACCCAAAGTAAAATGACCACAAAATATGTGTGTCTTGCTCCTGTGTAGGAGAGGTGGTGGGGCCCTTTGCACATCTGTGCCCAGGGGCCCAATGTCTCATTATCCGCCCATGTCTATCCCAGGACCACTACTCTAATACAAATCCTAAAACAGCATCACATTTTCCAGTTTATAAAAAGCAATACCCCATTTTCATTGAATTATAAGGAAATTATGGCTACATGTAAATTAATGTTTGTTTAAAACGAATCTATAAGTATTATTTCCCTCTGAGATCAGCTCCTGATGCACTCCTTTTTGAACTGGCTGCATAACAATAAAAATATATATCTCAATATAACAGAAGAAGCATCCTCCCTACTTATTTCTTCTACCGTGAGTCTTGAACATCTGCTGAAAGCTTCCAGTGTAAACTGACAGTAGGAAACCGTAGTGAGGCCGTGCTGCAGACGAATGTCAGGGGCTTTGTCTCTGCACAGTGTCCGTGCCTGCTGCATGCCTCTGCCCGTTTAAACGGAACTGCCCCTTTAACCGCGTGTCCGTACTGCTCATGCTCGGGGCTTTGTGCAGGAGTTTCCCCGTGACAAACCAGCTGTGGACCGAAGAGCGCTAGCAGACAGAGAAGAGAGAGCAGCGGCGCTCCGGCAGAGCTGCGGCTGTCGCATCCTGTGATACCAAACCCGGGCAGAGGGCACGTCTTTGTCTGGGAGCACATCCAACAACCGACAGGAGAGCAGCGCGCGGCGATGATCGTGGGTTCCGTGGTTTTATTCTAACCTCGGAGATTACGGTCTTTGACGCTGAGGCAGCATCATCCGGTCACGGTGTTTACATCGGAACCTTGACCACAGTGGAAGTTATCTGGGAGACTTGTGGGGACGCGCCGCAGAGCGCGTAACGGGGCTTTCTGTTTGTGCAGCTCGGAGCGGATGGCTCCGATAGAGATCGCGTGTACAGTGTTTTTAAGGTCGAAACTGTTTCCATCAAAGTTTCATCTCTTTGTCCCGTCCCGCAGCCTCCTCCACACCGCTCGGCATGTCCTCATAGTGCGTAATTATTGTTTACCCGAGCCCTTTCCTCTGGCGTCACAGGTAGGCTACCCCAGCCTGTATCCACACCGCCGCTGATGCCAACACGTCACCTCATAGCGTAAGGTGACAGTTTCATTTTCTGATCCGGGGCTGCAGCCTCTCTCACACACACACTCCGCGTCCATCATGGATGATGTTGGAGGGATGCAGCTATGCACCCGGAGCAAGTCGTCCAAAAGGAGCGCACGGGACGTCTTGAAAACATACCTGGGAGTATTTGTGATGCTTCATCTCGTGCTCCACACGGAAGCCTCCTCGGTGTCCAAGTCCTGCGATAAGAGCTGCTTTTCAGGGAAGTGCATGAACGGGACCTGCGTGTGTGACCACGGATGGGTCGGGGATCAGTGCCAGCACTGCCAGGGAAGATTCAAGTAAGTTGGTAATTGATATGACATCTGCCACGTGCATGTAGGAGTTTAAATCTTAACTGTTGGGTTATTGTTATTGACATTAGGTGTTTGAACCACGTGCAGCCCCTGACCTGTGTGAATATCAGGTTGGTGACAGACATATTTATCCACTATAGACTAATATCAGTTATCTCACTGCTTATTTGGGGTCCTCAGTGTCTTAATTTGTGGCAAACAACCTGTTTGAGTGCGTGAAGTGTCTTAAGTGTAAATGATTAGAGGCTTTGGATGCCACCTGGCTCTGTTACCACAATGTATGAGGGGCAATTAATGCCACGGCAAAACAAAGCCCAAACATCCTGATCTCCTTTAGTCACATTTCCTGGCTGAGTTATAGTTTAGAAATTGCCAAATCTGACTTAATTTTTCGCAGGGTGCATCAAAAGCGAAGATCTCCTGAAGGAGGTAACACGCACACACACGAGTGGGTCATGCCTCTGCACGAGCGTGCTGTAAATACATGCAGGAGAGTGCAGGTTCAGCTGGTTCAATTCAGTGAGTGCAAAACACTTTTCTAAATATGACAACATGTAATTTTAATGCCCAGACAGCAGATTGGTCACTGCTGTCTGCCGCTCAGAGTGAATGGAGCAGAGCGACTGCCACTCTCGCTGCCACTTTAGAGTACTACACACAGGCTTAAAAAGCCTGCTGCGACTGCTGTCTGGCAGTTGCTCTTAAAAAATGAATCAGGATCCAGAAATTGCATGACTGATATTTTGCCTCAGATATTTCCTGAGATGTTTTTGGCTGCAAAGCTGAGTAAGATGTTGATGCGTGTCAGTGATGCAGCAGCTGGAATTTCAAGGATTCCTTACTTTGCACACAACAGTGATGGGTGGCCACAGACGGTTTATCCTCTCTTATTATGGTGCTGTGTTTATTAGTTGTGTAAACTTAGATGGAAGCATGTGTCCTCTTTATTCAATCCAAACTAGAGGAGACAGTATGCAAACACTTTGAGCTTCACAGGCACTGTGAGAATGGACCACCAGTGTAGATGTGCTTGAAAATAAGGCAGCTCCTTTTGTCACTGGTTTGCACAATTTGCCAGAAAGAGCCATGTCACGTGTCAGAATGATCTCTCTTAGGTATCATACTGGCCTGGATATAAGGTGGTACTTTTTTAGCTGTGACCAGCAGCACTATAGCTCGCTCTGTCAGTCGGTTGGTCCACAAATATTTCCACACACTGTGGTGGCGACAGTTTTCACTCCAGGAGGCTGAAATTTGGCATGGAGGTCAAGTGTGTGTGTGTTAGGGTTGCACATTTGCTCATTTATGATACTGAAAAAAAGCATCTGGATGGAGAGTCTCCCCTTTATGTTAGACTTTTTACGCCTACTTCCACTGACAAAATGATTTCAAGTTTCAGTTATAGTCAGAAAATGTTTTCTCGACCAAAAATGTCCCTTCCATTTTCTTCTCTTTAAGGGTCATTCTGACATATAAATTCTGTAATACTGTGCAGTGAAACCGCTATATTTTCTGAGATGCTTATCATACTGTGAATATCTCATACTGTTGCAACCCTCGTGTGTCAAGATGTGTGGTGGTGTTCATTTCAGTTGTCTAAAAGGGGAGGTAGTGGGAGTATTGCAAAAAAGGCACATGTCTTTCAAATGGATTCACAAACTTGCACAAGGTTTGGTGGAAAGATTGGTCATGAGCCACAGGACAGCTGATCAACTGTCCATGCCAGTCTGCAAAAAGGAGGTGTGGCAGTGGGAGTGTCCGATAACAAAAAATGTGTAGCTTCTACACAGATTCACATATGACAAATGCTAAAAATCATTGTATTACAGTCAAACATGTTAATTTATGAAGCAACTGATGTGTGAAAATGAAAACATGAGGAACATTTAACAAATATACACCTATTGAAGGGATATGAGATGGAATGGCACAGTAAGCTGCATTTTTTGCTTCCTCAAATTCATTGTTTTCATTATGAAGGTGTGGCAGGTGCGCTTAAACACCAGAGCAACACTGTAGCAGTGCACATGCTTTCACGAGTGCCCGAGTTCAACTTTTGGAAATATCAGTCTGTGATAAATACGGAGAAGAAGTTAATCATTTTAGGTCAGGGCTGCCAGAGCTTTACATCTGTTTGATGTACAATATTTTTGGCCAAATACACACTTACAAAACTACACCTGGAGGAAGCAACCTCAGACGCAACCTGCCACTATGGTCTTGAAAGCTGGCACAGAAATGGCACTCAGCGCCTAACTTCGCCTTTTCCAGGTGGTTAAAAACGCAGCATGTGTACGGCCCCAAAGGCAGGGTACAAGATATGTAGGGCTGTACCCAAATATTCGGATATTCGAATATTTGTTTCTATGGGTAGGTATTTGTTATGAAAATTTGGTATTCGATATTCCTTTATTTATTTCCTTTTTTTTTTTTTTTTTAACATATTTTTTGGTGCTAAATGTAGTCTTTTTGTTGTTGGTAAATGTAGGTTATCAATAAAAATCAAAACTTTTAAATTGCATTGTTAAAAATGTGAAAATATAGTATTCTACCAACGGAGCTCGTGCGCACGGCAGGCATGAGCGCATCCGTCTGAGGCTGTGGATTAGTGCCAAGTTATACCACTTTATCACTATTCCCTCTAACTTGTAGCTGTTTTTTCGTTATCTTTTGAATTTAATATGAATTATGGAACCGTTTTTGTCAACGTTTGTTTCCCCCGTTTTGTACAATAAATTATTGTTTAAAGTTTCAACAAGTTTCTTTTGGAGTGCGTGACACAAGTGTGTTTTGAAAACGACCGCGGACTGTCACCTGCTCAACGCATCAGTACCTTCGGATGCCATGACAGTAATAGCCAATAATGTCAAAATATCATTTACAGACTGATTTAACAGACGATCACTGCTGCCCGACCCGCAGGTCCATTTGCGGGTCCTGCGGGTTACGGGTCGACCCGCGCATCACTACTCAGCTCAGTCTATAAAGGCTGTACACAACAGTAAGGCTATAGACATTATATTCTATTCAGGCCAGCAGAACCAGCAGTGCATTGGCTCTACAGTGCACGGCACTGCTGATTAACCATTTTATTGCAGCACAGAGTGTCTGCCAGCAACCAATTACTTGCAGAGGCTTCCTAAAACTTGTTTCAACGGTTCTGATTTAATCAGAAGACAAATTAAACAGGATGACTAGCCAATGTGAAAATCAAAAGAAAGCATAGAATAATAACTGAAGGAGACTGTTGTGCCATCACATTTTTTTGTGGTTTGAGAGCAAAGATCCGGTCGCCGCTGTGCAAAACTCTGCAATACAATTAGGTCCGAAAAAACTGAACATGAATGTTTAATTTTTGTTTGATTTGATCGAGGTGTGTGTGGTGAACACTGGGTCAGAAAGTGGGATTATTCATTTTTGATATTAAGTTCATTTATACAAAATAAAAAATGGATAGGATTTGATAAGTATTAATTTCCCTCTGCTCCTTTTTGGACATGAAATACTCATACTGAGTATGTCTGTGGGAACTCTGTTCTGGATTTTTGCTTATAGTTTAAATTTTTATTATTTTGCGTGTTAGAAATAAACCTGATGTAATCTAATGTACCATGACCAAGCAATGTAGAAAAACACGCACACACAGACAGATAGACATTTGATGCCTGAGAGGAGTGTATGACCAGCAGCTCTGTATCTGTGGGTCCATCAGTTCATTGGTCCACAAAGCTGTACCCACCCTACAGCAACCACAGCTCTCTATCTGTGAGGCTGGAATTTGCCTTGGAGGTCAAGTGTGTGTGAATGCATGAATGCATGGATGCCCGCACTATGTGTTTGCAGATATTGTGGATTTGCACTTGAAACTTGCACAGTAGCATTTTTTTTAATTGAGAGTGTGCTGGTTTTACAGAGTGTTGCATTATGGGTTGTTTGTAGCTTTAATGTTGCTGGGTAAGTGGGTTTCTTCAAGTGCATGTATGGTGTGTCATTAAGAGTTAATCAGAAATAAAAGTGGTCTTGTAGCTCAGTTTCTGATGACTGGTATAATGTGTTTTGCTGCCATGGGGAAAAAAAATGCTAACAGCTATAGACTGCTCACACAAGGAGAGCGTGTGAGTTAAACTTCTACAAAGTTAACATGTATTTGGGCCATATGGATACTACATGTAGTCCCATCTGATATCATCTTCAGAGCAGCTTAAATGATCAGCTTCCCCTCCCATCTTCTTTCTCTGTGGCATTAATCGCCCCTCATACCCTCCAGAGAGGATGACTTTACCTTTTCACAATCACCTACAGCCTAATCTGCACAAGTAAGGACGGAGGGATGGCAGGACTTCAGTCTGGTACTTTCTCTCTGGAGCATTGCATCGATTTCTCAGTCAATGTGAGTGTTGTGAGAGCAGGTGAACAGAGCCGGCTGAAGGCTGGACAACAGACGGACAACACGACAGGGACGGGCTTTATTTTGTCTTATGGCAGCCTTGCGGCGAGTTAGTGTCCATCAATACTGAGTGTGAGGCTGTGAAATTTTGCACAGTTCTCTTAAAAAGGTTGAACAGCTGTTTTATCGTCTGAGCAAACACATTCGACGCCTCAAATCTATATTTGCACACATTTTATTGTTGGCAGGAAAAGCATCTCGAGATCAGCGTCAGTTTGGGATCGTTTTCAAAGACAACATGTTACCTTTCACACCGTGATGCAGCATACTGTGGACTGTGCATGAAGAAACATGAGAACACGGAGAGAAAAACTGGGAAAAAGGAAACACACCAAGAATACTGTGTGAAGAGAAAGGTGTTCTTTATTTTTAACGTGTTCAGCTAACAGGTAGCAGCCTCACTGACTTCTGAAGAGAAGATTATAATTTGTGGTTTTATTTGAGTGGACAGTTTGAGTGTTGAAAGGGCAAGAGAGGGGGGACGACATGCAGCAAAGGGCCACAGGCGGGAATCAAATCTGCAGCTGCAGCGGCAAGG